CTACAAAGCCGGGACGGAGCACGCCGGGTTCTCACCGGACCAGGCTCTCACATCACCAAGCGCGAAGCGCCGTGAGGTATTTGGCGAGTCGCATGAAGGGTGAGCTGCATCCTGCTAAGGGTGTTCGGCATCTTGTGCTTACTTCCTTGCGTACGGATGACAGCTACGTAAGACTTAATTTATTTTCTGGTGCTTTCTCTTCCAGAGACAGTTGTAAGCACTGTGTAACTGCCTCGAGGAAGCTTGACCATTTTAACACAACGTGGTGCGATCATCCCCCGTTGCGCGGAGTGAGGTTTCTCGACCCCGCACAACATGATCTACTCGACCACCATGGTTACCGCCAAAAAAAAAAACGAGGTAAAAAAAAAAAAAACGGTAACCTGGTTGCCGAGTTCACGAAGTGAATTGGCTTGTTTTACAACGTCGTTGCCAATCTACGAAAACCCAATCCCGATGGCAAACACCGAGTGGGGGGCTTGTTTTACAACGTCGTTGCCAATCTACGAAAACCCAATCCCGATGGCAAACACCGAGTGGGGGGCTTGTTTTACAACGTCGTTGCCAAGCGACGAAAACCCAACCCCGATGGCAAACACCGGGGGGGGGGATGGGGGGGGTAACGACCGAGATGGGTTGCGAGTGCCAGCAAAAATACGTTGGGTGCGCGTGATTCCCGCACAAGACGGAGGCCGGTACCACTATGAAACTGCTGTGAAACCGTCGGACAGGACACGGTAAGGCTATTGTGCCGCTAAACGTTGAACCAGCGCGCAGAGTGCAAGCTGCTTGGGGAGTTACTCTTGACCACGGCTGAAGTTGAGGGACACAATCGGACGGTAGTCCTCTCACCTTGCCAAGGTCAGTGACATCAACAGAGGTCTGATTCCCTGACTCATCCAGCCACTCCCTGATCTCAATAATGGGAGCCTCTTGTCCATCCTCCACCTCCACCACATGCTGCCGAACATTAAAAACCAAAACGTGCAGCAGTGAAGTTGATCGACAGCAAACCATCTCCATCGACGAAGCCGCAACGACTACGCCAGCGGTTCGAGCCAAAGGGCGGGAAGGCATTCCCCGCCGGCTCTCTACATGTAACGCTACCTGGAGACGACAAACAATAGCTGCACAACCTATTAATAGTCGGCCCTGTGGTGGACTGGAAATCTTCACTCGGCGAGCTGATCCTAACCTGTGTGCTCAGGCAGGCATTCCAATGATGCAGAACAAAAATAAAAGGACGAAAGCAGGGCCGATACAGTCAAGAGGGGCAGCACCACCGAAAGCATTTCATGGGGCTCGACCAATACACAAACCCTTGTTGAAAGTGGACAGGAGGGCTTTCGGTTCAGGACGCCTACTTGTATCTCAGTTCGGGCACGCGTGGCCGTACACTACTGGCGCGCTGATCAATACCGCCGCATACTTCGTCGATCCATCTACCTTCGCACATCACCTCTTGGCCTTCCGAGTCGTCGAACTTAATCTCGGTTGGGGTGCGCAAAGAGCCCCCGTCAGCAGCTTCCTTGGGTTCTTCAGGGGGAACCGTCTGACGCTGTCGCACGAGCGGCACAAAAGCAAAAGCATATGTGGCGTTTTGGGGAGAGAAATAAGCAACGTGCCCAAGGGGCATGTTGTACCACGGTTCAGAAAGGCAGCCCACACTCAAACCTTACAACGTCATGTTCTCGCCATCACCTTGTGCGCGATTACTCAATTGGCTCTGCACCTTCGTCGAGAACACGCTGTTGGTTCCCGACCTCCTTTCTCCAAATCGACACGTTCTGTCTGGAGCGGCGCAGTGTGGCCTATTCGAAGCTGAAATTGCACGATACATTTGCTGCACTAGACGTGAGTGCAAATATTGCTTCAGCACGCACGGTGTTCCAGTACGTACCTTTGGAGGTAGATGGCCCTTCGTGGGTCCGCCACTTCCTTTGGACGACAAGAAGCCCTTGGCCCATGTCTTTTTGGTGTCGGAATCGCCCTTCTTTCGGCGCCTTTGTCCCTGTACCGATTTCGCTGGTTCTTTCGGTGCCAGAAGCGTGCCCTCCCGTAGAACTCGCGCCTGCTCCGAAAGATCTGACCAATAACACAGCAGCAGCAGCAGCAGCAAGAAATCTTAACAACCCATCGCGCTCACCACACGGCGAAACGACAGCGCTGCGTTCGTGGTCTTGGGTGTAAAATTCTGCCTATACTGCCTCTACCACAAAATCCTACGAATGGGGCCGGTCGGGGAGACCGTCACCAAGCCCGGACGGAATCATGTCCTGCATGGATGGAGCAATCTATCCCGCTGGACCTGCACACACGGCGGTGCCCGGGTTTCTGCGATTGGTACGCATGACCGCAACCGAGAAGGTGGCAATGGGCTTCGATCCGCTGGATGTGTAGACGTCGAAAATGAAACTACAGTTCGGAATAACGTCACCCGCGTGTTCACTGGCCGTGTAACCCACACACACACCCCATCATCAGTTAGGAGGATTCAACATGAATGGCGACAGGGCGCTCTGTCAAGGAAGGATGGATGCAAACATATTTTGCCTGTACGACAGCACCCACGCTGACCGCTCGAGTCGAGTTACACGCTCAGACTACATCGTATTAAAGGCACACACCTGCCATCCTTCTTTGTAGAACTTCCCGTGCTTGTTCAGGAGTCCTCTCGACGAAGTAGTCTTGACCCAAGCCCATCATGATGCTCTCGCCAGCAACACTTCCGTGCATGAAAGCCACATCGGTTAAAGGCACCATGACCTTTATGTTGGCAAGATAGACAAGAGCAACGGCAAGACGTGAGTCTTTTGGAGAGATCGACTGTCGTTGAAATTAGCGGTCGCCATGTGATTGTCCCACTTGTCTTGCGGTTCCCGCACTCGTCGGCGCCTTGAATAAACACGATACGAGGGAGAGACAGCGCGCGAGAGAGAAAGAGAGACAGAGACTGATCTCCCGCCCTACAGCAGTGGTTCACATTTCACTCTGATACGCCGATATCTTTGAGCTCTCGGAAACAACACGTTACCGCATTTTCAACATTGAATAAATACCAAGGGATTCCTGGTAGGGTTTCCAGTTGCGTACACGTACTTCAACGGCACGTGCATCGGCTGACAAAGCCTTCCCCAACACTATGCATAGGTGTCGGAATGATAAACCTTCGCCATTTCGTCGGAGAGAAGGGGAGTGTCATAAGACATGGAGCAGTGTTCTCTACCTACATTGGTTTGGAGAGACAGTTTGGGTGTTTGGGTTGGAACAACAGGATGTCTCAGGAGTCATGTACGACCACAGCCCAACAGAGCAAGCTCCACGAGCTACACAAGCGACAGACCCTTCGATAAACATTCCCAGTGAAGGGGGCCTACACACACGGACACACACCCATCGAGAGTTGATCCTGTGGGGGGCAGTCAAATCACCTCAGGTTCTCTCTGCTGTTGGCAGCACTGCGTCGCCAGTGAAACATCAGCCTCGAGCGCAATCAGCTCTTCGATCGAATCGATCAAGGCTTGTGATTTCTTCGCTTTTGCCGCAACGTCCATGGCGGATACTTCGTGTTTACGCCCGCACCCTCAGCTGACTCTCGGCTGGCTCCTGTGCGCCCTGGTGCACCGGTGAGCACTCCAGAGGTAAGAGAGCCGCGCCAGGCGAGACTGTCCTCGTTTCTAATATATGACGTCACGGGGCGGGGGGGGATATGGGGTAGGGCACACGCCAGATACATTCGCCGGCCCCCCAACTTCAAACCAAACTTCAACTGCACCCCTGTTCCTTGCAAATGTTCCTGTAGCACACACTCTGGACTTGCCCCTCTCCTCTTGGACCCTCTACTGCCCTTCGCCTCTCTCGACCTGGTACCCCCGCCTCCCCTTCGTCCGACCGCCAAGCCTAGCTGCCGGATCCCGCACAATTCGCGGTGAGGGGAGATGTGTTCTCGCGGATCTTTTTCCGTTTGTTGGAATATGCCCCAAGCACGAGACATGCACGGAGCCTGCATGTTCCATCTAGGTTGCACTTTGCACACATACGCCCCTATCATGATTGCCTTTATCCTGCGCTCGTGACACAGAGAACGGGGGTTCGTTGTCTTCCCAACCCCCCGTTCCCCCACCCGTTTAGCATCTCCTTGAGTTCGGTCGCGAGAATCATACACAGGTTGGTTCATCGAAAATGGCCGGCATATTATATGTAGCCGATAGCAGCAAGCAAATAGTCCCGCATTTTGCCACCAGCTCTCTTATGCTTTGCCCTTTTCCTACCTCTGTCTTTGCTCCCCCCCCTCCCCCCGTTCTCCTCCCTTCTCCACTCTCTTTTCCCCCTTGCATGGTGCGGCGATCTCGGTGCAAGCAGTGATCGAGACGCGAAAAGAGAAAGTCAGTTTCCCGTGGATATCCGAAGGGGTGCCTTGCTCCTTCTTCCTGTCTCTTTCAGTCTCTAACAGCATCATCATTACTTGCCAAAGATGGCGATTGACAAGACTTTCTTTGGGCCCGGTGAAATGGACGGGGGAGACGGCGGCTCGTCCCAAGGGCTGCTGTCTCCCGACGCTCTACTAGAACTTCTTTCCTTCTTGCCGCACCCAGAGGTAAGGCGGCCTGCACGCACGGGGGGCTTTGCATGCTCTTGAAGTTTGGGTCATCGACGTGGCGGCACAGGGGACGATCACAAGCTGCGCGCGCTACAGTATGTATTCATACGTACTACCACCATAACAGAATGTTGCACCCCTGCCCGGCCTGCGCGAATACCCTGCAGGCTCAAAGGACCCTGCAGGCGCCGCTCTCGAAGGTGTACCTCTCTTCTTTCACCCTTGAGGAGGTGAGGCTTCGTTGTAGACGGCTGCTGCTGCACTACAACTGCTGTCACCCCTATAGATATGAGCATGCAGAAATCTTTCCTGGTACCTTTGAGATCTATGCATACAATATCTGCATGTGTGTTCTGAATTTGGTTCTTGAACTTGCAAGCGTCGGCCCTAAAACCCGACACAGATGGCGCTTCTTGAGCATGGAGTATCGTGTTGAAGGAGACATATCCTCATCTCGACCAAGCTTCTCTTATGGAGCAGTTGAAGGGGGCGTAATCCGCGCTCGGACGACCCTGTCCTAAACCGGATTTTGTACGCCCAGACTTGGACCAACGCCGGACCAAGATTAGTCAAGGAAGATCCAAGAACTGTCGGTTTGATGGGGTGCACGACCGGCATTTTTTTTCAATTCTCTCGTGTTATTCTCGCAGGAAGGGGGGGGGGGAAGGTCGCTTTTTCCCACACGTGCATCGGAACTACCGCCGCAGATCTATGATGCATGCACATGATTTTCCCCACTGTTCCCGCGTGCATACGTACCCCCACATTGGCACACACAAAGACTACTGTGTGGTGCAAACGAGAGAGAGAGAACACGTGAAAGGGCACGACGAATATATAGGATGTGTGTGTGTGTTTTTTTTTTTGTACTTCAGGTATTTTGAGGGGGGGTTGGCAACAAGAGTGCACGGACATGTCGCCTTCCAACTCTTTGTGTCTTATGCTCGCACCATCGTTTCGAGCCTTGCCCCGTTCGGTTGATGCGCAAGGTCCGAGATACACGCACTGTAGTATTATCTACCTCTCAACGCATTTCATATTTTCCCTAACTTTGTTTCAACCAACAGCTACTGTAGTCCTGCGCTAACCGTCAGTGATATCGTACTACCACAATGGCGCGTTGCATGTGATGCTATGCATACACGCAGAACGTCTGGAAGATTCTCGTTCGTATTCTGTGTCATCCCTAACTATATATAACCAACCACCAGCGAGCTGTAGGTCCTGTGCTAACAGCAGTGGTTTCATGCCACTACCGTCGCCCTTTGCACGTGATGCCATTCATACACGCACGCAGAACATTTGGAAGGCGAGGTGCGTGGAGCAGTGGAAGGTGCCCCCCAACACCACCTGCCACGCTTGGCGCGCCCTCCACATCGACCTGGTGCACTGCCTGTCTCTTGTTGACGGCACCGCGGAGGAGACTTGCGGCGGCGGCGGCGACTACGACAACGTGGTCGCGATCGTGCAGGTGCTGGACGTCTACCGTTCCCTAGCCGAGATGACCCGCGCTTGCTTCGACAGGCTCGGCCACCTCCTGAATAGCGAAGAGGCCCGCCAGGCCGTCAAGTGCGTAGACTGGCGCATCATGGACCACGCTCTCTGGGCGCTCAAGACATACCCCGATGACGTGGACTTGCTGCTGGTGAGTTCCGTCGAATAGAATCGAACCATGCATACACCTCGACCCCGTAGTGGGCAGCAATGACCTGACGCGTGTGGAGACAAGTCGGCAAAATGGTGTTGCGAGCACGTGATTCACACGCGGGTCTCGTACCCATTTCCTCGAACGAAACCAACAAACATATGACGCTTGCCTCAAAAAACCACTCGCCAATTCCCCTGCGGTCGCTCCTCTTTTCGGCAGAAAATTCTCCGCTTCCTCGTCCTGGCCGGGCGCCCCGCGGGGCGCATGGAGGGGGCGGTGATGTCCCGCCCCCCCGCCTCCGACGGCCCCCTGCGGGCCTTCGGCCCCTCGGGGGATGGCGTGGAGGCGGTCCTGGCGTGCATGGAGAGGCACCAGTCTAACGCCGCGGTCCAGGCCGTGGCCTGCTGGTCGTTGGTCAACCTGGCGCTGATCCCCGGGCAAAAGAGGTCACTGTGCCGGCAGGGCGGGGTCCTCGCTATCGTGAGGGCGATGGCCCGGCACCCCCAGGACAGCGAGGTTCACTTCAGGGCCATGTTCGCTCTTATCAACCTGGTGACGCCGGACGTCACCTCGGAGAAGATCATCCAGCCGGACACCATGAAGGTGAGAGAGCACCAGAAGGCGTCCATCCCGGCAATCACCGAAAGAACGCCTCCCGAACGGGGGTGCCAAGGGGCCGGGAACGGCGTGAGGGCCCCGTGTTTTTGCCAACAGTAGTAGGGTAGGTTACTCTACAGGTTTACAGGTTATGCCTTTTTTTTCACGTTGATCGCGTCGGAAGGAGGGCGCCACGATGCTGACGGCCGTTGTTCGCGCTCGCGTGTTGTGTTGACCCGCTTCTTCCTGCACCGCCGTCCGTCCCTCAGGCCGTAGTCGCCATCGTGGTGTCGGCGATCCAAGCCTTCTCGAACATGGTGACCATCGTCAACCGGGCCTGCCTCGTGCTTCACAACATCGCCCTCGACCCTGGCCACCTTGGCGCTCTCGTGGCCATCGGTGCTCCCGAGGAGCTCCTCCACGCTATCGGCAAGCACCCCACGGACGCCCTGCTGATCCAGTGCGCCACGGGTACTCTCCGCCGGCTCGGGCGCTGAAGGCAGCAGCGGAAACGAACGAACGGCCGACCGTGTGTGCCGCAGCAGCAGCGGCATCTTATCAGCGAGCGCGCGTGTGTGCGATGCGATCTCCGCGGTGAAGAATTCTCGAGGAAGTATATATTAAACTATCTGTTTTTTCACGCGCCTATGCTAGGTTGTCGCAACATACCTGCGCTGACTTTTGGAAAGGATAAGGAGCGGCTTGGCTGTACGTAAAATTGGGAGGGGTGGGGTCAGAACTGTTTTACCAACGCTAAAGACCGGGCGCTGCGTCTGACATTTGTATTTACGGCAGGCGTTAGAAGTGGTGTGTGCTGGGACTCGGCATGAGGTTTGCAGTTGCAGGTTGTCTTTTGTAATTTTACGTGTTTGATGTAGAAGTGTTTTGTTTCTCGAGTGTCCGATGCGAGAACGACAGCAGCAGCAATGCTTGCTCTGTGTGTCAGCCTGTGCTTAGTTTACCGCCGTCCTGTTAACCCCGACGTTGGGAAGTATTTGCAAACCAAATGGCGTAAGTACGAACGAACGCGTTTAGACGAGTTATTTCTTGCGTCTCGGCTGCTTGTTCATATGGATTTGATAGACATAGATGTAGAAACGCGGGGATCCGCCAAGTGTGCTGCTCTCTTCTTCCCGAACGTGAAGATGAGATTATCATGGACATTTACGCACACGCAAGTCTTGTGGGGGCGGGTGCCGTGGGAAGTGAGTCTTGCGCCTCTTCTTTACGCCTAGTGCCGTGCGCATAAAATAGAAGAAAAAAACTATTAGTCTCGTCCATTGGACAGGGATCGCTGCCGTGAAGCCGTCGCTGAGATAGATAATCGATTGTAAAGGCGAGAGGTGGAATGAATTCCTGGTAGGCGGCGAATGCCATTGTCTAGTCGTCACGAGAGAATAGAAAACACACAAAAGTAAACAAAAAACGGGGGGAAATGTTGAGACGTTGTTGCGGTATTAGTATTCGGCACACATGGTAGGGAATGTTAAACAAAAAAAAAATGCGATCATGTCCGTCCAAATTTCCATACCGCACATGCACGGCGTATATGTATATGAGATCAGAACGTGTAAGGCGTGGGCTTGCCGTATCGTACCGGTAGTATGGCTGGGGCGGGAGGGGATATAGAGGGATAGATACGGTTGTTGTGCTAGTGCCGCCATGTTCGCCAGGGGCTACCCGGGGGGGGGTACAGAGGGTATGAGAACGGTCATGTCATGACTGAATGAAGCAGGAGCAGGCAGCGAAGGCACCAAGTGCACAGGCTGAGGGGTCCATACCCATGTACTTGCGTGATTTAATTGTTTCAGATTTGAATACGAAGAGGAGCTCTTGCTCGTTTTGAGATGATCATAATGGATGAACGACAACGCTAACTACTTCTTCCGGGAGTGAGTGGCAACGTGCTCGTGCGCCCTGCTGTGTGTGCGGGATTGACGAACGATTTTTTTGTGCTGGATTTGCCTGGCTGGGCACGCTGTAGTAGGCAACGCACCTACCTTCTCCCTTGGGTATCGTCCGTACCCTGCCTCTTAACCAATCGTGTCTGCCAGGTGTTGTTTGCTGAGCATGGCAATCAATATTTTGTTCTTACTCTCCTCCAGTGTCCATATCGGACGAACCAACGGCGGCGCCGGAAGTCGCTCCCGTTTCTTTCCATAACCAACCGCTGTATATCATCTGAGCCTCGCTTTTTTTGCAGCATGACTTGCCTGTTGTGAGTTTGTCGTGCCGCTTGTGATCTCTCCACTCATCGGACTTCCGCATGAGGGGATCAAACTCGAGACTAACGAACTGCAACATGCATCCAGACTTGTAGTGCGGCCCTCAGGCTTCCATTCTTCTACGACATCGTCATCGGAAATTGATGCTTTCAGACAACGTGCTCATCGAGCAACCACCCGTTGTCAAGTAAATGCGTTGGGTATAATAGCTACAGTATAGACAGGAGGATCGATGTTGTCTGATTGATGTTCTGTGAGTGAATTTGAAGCGGATACACCAGACGTTCTTGAGAAACGGCGTGTCTAAATCCCCCCCGGGGGGGGGATTAGTGTCTAAACACCCCCCCGTCTGTATTTCCACCCCCAAGGCACCAATCGAGCCAGGACATGGATGGCTGTGTTGCTGTGTTGTGGAGCTATCGCGAGATACATCGTACAGCGGAAACGGTGCAGGTTTGGTGCAGCCATGCATGGTTGATGGGCAAAATATATCCGTTGCACCAACCTGCCCCCCGGGGGGGGATTAGTCTAGTGTCTCCACCCCCCCCCGTCTGTATCTCCACCCACAAGGCACCAATCGAGCCAGGCCATGGACGGCTGTGTTGCTGTGTTGTGGGGCTACCGCGAGATACATCGTACAGCGGAAACGGTTCAGGTTTGGTACATCCGTGGCTGATGGGCAAAATATATCCGTTGCCCCAACCTGCCCCCCGGGGGAGGATTAGTCTAGTGTCTAAACACCCCCCCGTCTGTATCTCCACCCACAAGGACATGGACGGCTGTGTTGCTCTGTTGTGGGGCTACCGCGAGATACATCGTACAGCAGAAACGGTACAGGTTTGGTGAGGCCATGTTGTGGCTGATGGGCAAAATATATCCGTTGCCCCAACCTGCCCCCCGGGGGGGGAGTAGTGTCTAAACACCCCCCCGTCTGTATCTCCACCCACAAGGCACCAATGGACTGACAAGCACCGGTGTAGATGTGTGTGAAAACATGCACGAACAGCGCACAGCGGCGGGCAGCAGGTGAGGCCATCGGAGCCTTGTACATAGGTGCGAGGTCCATCGTGGGGTATTAGACATATCCCCCCCCCCCCCCACCCCCCCCGCGGAGCAACACCAACCCGAGTTTTACCCCCCGGGGGGGGTTTTCCCCCCCAAAAGAAACCCTCTGGCCACCCCCCTTTGGGCAAAGAAGGGGGCAAAGGGAACCCCCCCCCGAAAAAAAACCAATGGAGAAGTCCCGGGGGCAACAAAAACTTTTGTGGAAAAAAAACCCCGGGGGGGGGGAGGAAAGGTTTTTTTTTTACCCCCCCAAAAAAAAGGGGGGTTCCCCTCCCCCCCGGGGGGGGTTAAGCCGCCCGGGGGAAAAAAA